TCGAAGTGGAGACCCTTGACGAAGAGCGCACAGGTTGCTGCTCGAGGCTCTAACTGTAAAGTGAGCCTCCGCCGCGCTCGCGCGGCCGAGTCGATGGTTTTCGACTTTGAGAATGAGAGTTTGTGACGAACATCTCTTCATTCTGATTGGTCGGTAAACCGAACCTAATTGGGGGAGGATGTAAAGGGGTACGTAGCACTAAGTGTACCCTGGTTACATGAAGTGTGACACTTCACACTTCAGGAGTATGACATGTCATACTCCGGGATATTTGGTACAAGGTACCAAGGTCATTCAAAACCAACCATTGGTTAAATGACATTGCATTTCTATAGGTAACTGATAGTTTGTATTAACCTCAAACTTAACCTACCTATAAATATACTCAGTTTACAATCTACCTTATTTAGGTCACTTCGCTCTCTTTAATTAAAGAGGGGACCTGTGAACTGCCGTTCACTGAGAGTTTGTATACTCTCGGAAGATAACTTCCTCTAGCGCAAGGTGCTGTGTGACCCCGTCACACTTATGGATGCGTGGACGTCTCTCGCCAACAAGGTGAAAGTCGTGCAGGGGTTTTCCAAGCAGGAGATTACTGGCAAGTCGGCACAGGCACGGTTCAATGTACTGGTGGAAAACTATCGAGAAGCCGACAACAAGTCGGCGGCAGCTTAGGGAGTCTCAGAGGATTACACGGAGTCGCAGCAGCTTCTGGACGAGATAGTGCTGGCTGTAGATGAGCATGCTAGAGTAGAGGCGCAGCGGGCTCTGGAGTTGAAGGAAAATCTCGAGTCAGAAGATAACGTTGGTAAGCTAATGCGGGAGGAAGCTGTATCGCGCCTGAAGAAGCGGAAGGACAGAGGTGAAGAGAGCGAGTCTGAGAAGCCGTCGCCGCGCAAGGTAACCATCTACGACCTGATGCGTGAGGACAACGAAAAAGAGCGCCAAATGCGAGCTGAGCAATTTCAGCAGAAGCAAGAGTTGCAGCGAAAGTAGAAGGAAATGGAGCTTCAGGACCGGAAAGAGGAGCGAGAATTTGAGCTTCGTCTTGCTCGATTAGAAAACGAACGCTACAAAAACCTGCTAAAGCTAGCTCTGCTCAAGGCGCGTGGTGGAACGGCGCTCGATGGAATTGTTGGAGAGGTCGGTGACGTGGGCGAAGATGCAGGGGTTGGAGTGAGCGATGGTGTCTTGGGTCTTGAAGGTGGTGCTTGACCGAGCGCAGGAAGTTCACCTTCTAGCCTAGATAATCCTGTAAGCTGGGTGGTGGCAGATCAAAGTACTGGCTGATTTGGTTGCCTCCGTAGTAGCAGTTGTGGCAGTTCGTTAGGAGCATAGCAACTTTAACAAACGTACCAACTGGTGACAAGCGAACCTTTTGCTGTTTATTGTAGTCGACGTACGACCACAGAGTTTTCATACACTTGAAATTCCATTCCACCGATTCACGAAGACGACTCATCTCGCTGTTGAAGTCACTTTCGTCGGCACTTACAGAATTTCCTTTATATCCACTGACGATGTACTTACGTGTTCCATACGCAGGGTTACCATAAAGGAGCTTCCCCTCAAACGTGTCTTGGTGTTCATCAAAGTATTCTAGAAGACCACTTTCCCGCAGCATGGTGCTGTCGTGGCGGCGTCCCTCCATGGGACCCCAGAAATGGATACAAAGCCCGTCAGGTGCCGTCACGGCTTGGTAGTTCAGGCAGTGAATGCGCTTGTGCCCGCTGTACAGATGCTTCTGCAGGTTCTCACCTCTTTCGCCATGACGGCGAGGTGAAGGACGACAAACCGCCACCTTGGTGCCGTCGGGGAACCCAAATACGCCCTCCGTCGGAGCCCCTTTCGCCTCGACGGCTGTCGCAATACTCCTCCATGCGGGCGCTAACGATCGATTTAGCCATGAACAGCTTGTCCGCAAACGTGTCGTGCACGTAGTCGATCATGTGCAAGAATACACGACACAACCACGCTGTACCCCTTCCAAACGTCTTCATCATGTCGTAGTAGCGCGTTGGAAACGCTAAGCGAGCTAGCATCACGCAGAGGGCAGTGTCACCGGAACAAGTGTCGCCATGTGCCGTCACTACAGTGTCAGGGATGCGCAGCAGAGACCTTAGCTCGTAGACGCCAGCTACATCGAAGCGAAACTCAAGCTCGCTGTTTGCATCGGTGTAGCTAGCGAGGTCAAACGTCACAGCAGGAATCGAAGGCCGCTCAACTTGGTCGAGCAGCAACATGAAGCGAAGCTTCTTCTTGCGGCTCATGTACTTGTTCTTGGCGATGTACTACTGCAGCAACGCAGTCCGACGACACCATACTGGTGGTGGCTGTGAAAGATTAATTGTGAGAGGTCTCCAACCGGACAGGACATTCCTAAGAAAACCAGATTCCTAAGAACAATTCCTGGTTCGTGCTCGATGCTGCACTTTTCATGAACGTCAACCGAGAACGGACCAAGAATTGCTGGTTTCGAAATCTCTCTATTGTACTATCCACACCTTTAAGTGCCGCAGCAGCTTACCTTCCTTTAGCGCGTCGTGAATGACCGAACGAGACACACCCACCTCTTTTGCTAAACTGTCTTGCGTCATGCGGCGTCTGAAAGGGACGTCGGCTATCTGCTCCAGTAGTGCGGAGCGGACCAAACACGGCTAAGTGTGCTCTTGTCGACGCCAAAATGGTCAGATGCACGGGTCAAACAACCCCAGTCAGGTTTCCCCCCGCACGCTGTGCATGAGGACGAAGAGGACGACATCCTGGCGTTCTCGGTTCGTTAGGTTTGACCTCGAAGTGGCCCCAGCTAAGTCGGCTGCGTTGGTCATGCGGCTTGGAAATGGGGAGTGTCTGGTGTTAAAGATGCTGAAAATTGTGGAATGGCAAGCTGCCTGCGGTACATTTCCGTCGATAACTCTGGCGTCTGAGCAGCGTTTTTCGCGCGCAAACCAGCGTTGGAAAGAGGAGATCACACCGCGACGATTCCGCCAATCAGCGCTTCTAAAGCGAGTCTGTAGGAAAAACCACGTTCTTGACTAGGAGACTGTTGCAATTATTACCAACGAGAGGAAGTATTCGAGCTTAAAGTTGGCCAATTGATTTTCGCACTTAACCGAAAGGGAGACATTTATTGTAAACTTCCGTCGAAAACTCTGTAAAACTACCCTTATTCATTTGCTTTTAACAAGGGCTTTTAAATAACACTTGAATTTTTAAAATTGAAAAATATTGAGTCCTATTTCGAGGCCCATAAATGGAGATAATATTTTTGAGCGACCACAACTTCTTCAGTTTTAAGCATTCTGTAGCTCAAAAGATAAACGACGAGTGCTTAGATCGCGATTCGTACTTAGGTTCATAAGTATCATTTTGTTTGACGCAGCCTCATATGTGGTCGAGCTTGTCACTGCGAGCTTACTCTGGCTTTGGGAAGATGTCGCGGTACTTCAGCATTGCGTCCTTCCAGTGTGTGGGCTTTCGACCGGTGAGTTTCTCGATCGTGTCGGATGTCTTGCTCATGGATCCGTTAGCAACCATCTCACCGGAGCACAACAGGTCGCCGATGCACAGCTTCATTGGCAGCTGCGAGAAGTCGCCGTACACATTAATCGGCCCAGCCAGTACGACTTGAGCTCCTCGTCGGACATGTCGACGAACTCGGCCTTGTAGCCAGTCTCGTTGCACATGAAGTCAAAAATCTCTTCATGCGAGACGGCCTCTGGGCCTGTCACATCGTCACACATGGTTTGGCTCGCCCTGACCCAGCAACAGTGCAGCCTGGACACGACCACAATCGTCGCGGGCCACATAGGCACCTCGAGCACCGTGGGTGTTGATCAACCAGCGGTTCTCCGTGAACTTCCACGACGGAGCAAAGAAATTCGGGATATTGTCGGCGTACAGGAAGTTACGCTGGACGCTGTACTGCAGACCCGAGGCATAGATCTGCTGCTCTACGAAGTGGTGGTCACGCGGCAAGAACGGAATATCCTCCTCGTTCTCAGCCGTTGAACCGGCACCCACGAACGATGTATAGCAGATGCGCTTCACACCGCACGCCTTGGCCGTATCGATGACGTTCTTGGCCTGGGTACGGCGTCGATCACCAATTAACCACGTTGAAATGAACGACACGGCTTCGGCGTCCTGGAAAACAGACCGGAAGGTCTCCGGCTCGTCGTAGTTGGCAGCAACGACCTTAACACCTTTGTCTTGCCAGAGCTTGAGCTTGTCGGCTGGGATGATGTCCAGTGTGTAGCTCGTAAAAACGAGTTCGTCTTCAGGCTTCGCGATTTCGATGGCGAAGTCAGCGGCGACACCACCGAGATTTCCGTCGGCTCCGGTTAGGACGTACTTGGGCATACTACAGTCGTATACGTGTTGCTTGGGGCTTGAATGCAAAATGCAAAAAAACAACGGCGGGGGCGCTACGATGCCACTGGCATACACTGTACCTGAGTTACTAAAGTACATACTACGTGAATTCACAGAAATCATTGATCAGTGGCGCATCGCAAGTTTTGTTTCTATGTGTTGGACCGAAGTTTCGTATTTGCCGCCTCTCGAGAAGTATGCAATTATGAGAAGGTTTGAATTTGAAATAATGGGAGCTGTTTCAAAAAAAGTTCGTTTACAACAAAACAAATGGAAATGCTCGCGGCTCACTTTTATTGGTCTCCTCGATGATTAGTGCCAGCCGATCCTGTCAGGATCAAACCGAGGACACCACACATGCTTTTCCTCACATTACAATTTGAGTCCAAGACCTCTGGCTTAAAAGTCTCATCGACCATGACCAAGTTCGTCCTCACCGGTTCCGACGGCAACCTCGGCCGCATCGCCGCTGACTTCGCCATTGAGATCCTCAAACCTGAAGATCAGCTGGTGCTCACCAGCTACAACCTCAAGGCGATCCCCGAAGATGTCGTTGCCGGCTGGCGTGCCAACGGCGCAGAGGTCGTGGATGCCAGCTACGACGATGTCGAGAGTCTGAAGAAGGCGTTCGAGGGTGCGGAAGCTGTGGGCTTCATCTCGACGTGGCTGTTCGGTGACGGTCGTCGTAATCAGGCCAAGAACGTCTGCGCTGCTGCCAAGGCCGTCGGTGTCAAGCGTGTGTGCTACACCTCGTTCGTTGGCGCCGGCTGCGAGACGGACGTGGAGGAGGAGATCCCGTTCCTTCCCCGTGACCACCACTTTGTGGAGAAGACGGTTAAGGAGTCTGGACTGCAGTACAACATCCAGCGCAACTGGCTGTACATGGACAACATCCCGACTCTGTTCGCGCCGTCGTGGAAGTTCTGCGGCGACAAGTGGCTGTCCAACAGCCACGGCGTGCCCGGCGCGTACGTCGCGCGTGAAGACTGCGGCCGCGTGTTTGCTGCTCTGATCCTGGGCCGTGGCGAGCCCAACAAGGTGTACGACGTCACCGGCCCCGAGGTCGTCCAGCAGAAGGATCTGATGGAGTGGATGTGCCAGCAGACCGGCTACAAGGGCGAGTACGTCGACATGCCCGACGAGGAGCTCACCAAGTGGTGGCTCGACCGCGGTCTGCCCACTGACATGGCAACGGGGGACTTCTCGCAGCTGCCCATGAAGTTGTGTATTGGCGACGCAATCTGCTGCGGTGAGATGCTGGGCAACGGCTCCATGAACTCCGTGTCGGACACCGTTGAGAAGCTGACTGGACGCAAACCCGCCCGCTACCAG